CGGGGCTTCGGTTTTCTGGAAGCTGAGGGCCTTCAGAAAGCAAGGATTTCTTATGTGATTGCTTACTGGAGGACAGAAATTGTCATTCTTTCCTGAGCTACCCCTTACGGGCTCTGGCCGGGAAAGGCGGAGTCACATTAATAGAACGGGGCCAGAATTATGGGAGGCCCTGGCCCGTGGGGAGCCCCGGTCCTGTAGTCTTTAAAGAAGCCTTAAAGCTTAAAAGGAAAAACTTTAAGGAAGCCGGGGCTTCGGTTTTCTGGAATCTGACGGGGCCATGGTCCAACTATTGCGGAACCCTGCCTTCCTTATTGTGGGGGGGGGGGGGCCCCCCCCCAATTAAACAGGAGCTCGGATTAGGGTTTAGGGTTTAGGGTTTAGGGTTTAGGGTTTAGGGTTTAGGGCCATCGAGGGTTTCGGGCTTCTAGCGTTGAGGTGTTCTAGGGTGTATAGCGTTCGTGGTGTAAAGCACGCACCATAACGCCCCCGCAAACAGCAGCAGAAAAAAAGCAAGCAAGCAAGCGCGCGCAGATGCAGCTTCGAAGCGCCCCAAAGAGAGAACGCAGCACAAACACAGGTGGTTAGGGTTTAGGGTTTAGGGATTTTTCCGTCCCGCATAGCTGGCCGAACCGCAGGGGTTTAGGGTTTAGGGTTTAGGATCACAATCCGACTGGGACCACGAGGCCTGGACACATCGATCTGCATCCACAAGAACTATGTTCTGCGCAACGTGTCCATCAGGACCTCAAATCTTAGGGTAGTTACATGGCTTCATATGGGCCTTGAACAGCGAGCACCTTATATACCCCATATCAACCCAAGGGCCCATACTTCAGAACCCTTGAGAGAGGCTAAGGGACCATATTTAAGGGACCATATAGCTACCCTTAGATCAAACCCCCCAAAAAACCTACAACTCATCATGCTTCACAGAAAGACAAGAATGCTAAACCCTTGTAAGACCTTACAGCTCCTGGAAATGGCACGTCCCCACCAGCGGAGGCTCGCTTCTGAGCCTAGCTTCTGAGCCCCCTTGGGCTCCCATATCCAAAGCCAGGGTTTAGGGTTTAGGGTTTAGGGTTCAGGGTTTAGGGTTTGAGTCTGAGTTTGCAGAGACCAGCTTCGCAGCCGGATTGGTGAACTCGCCTGGTTTAGGGCTTATAGGGTTTATAGGGCTTATAGGGTTGATAGGGTTTATAGGGTTGATAGGGTTTATAGGGCTTATAGGGTTTATAGGGTTTATAGGGTGTATAGGGGTTGATAGGGTTTATAAGCTTTACGGCTGAGGAAATCCTACTGATCCGACCCAGGGCTTCCATTTGCACGCCGCGGCGCGCGCCAATGTCGGAGGGAATGCTGTCGAAGCCAGCGCAGTGGACCTTCGGGGGCCCAGTAGATATAGACCGTATAGACCTCAACATGAGTTTCAGATGCCATCCCAGAATGTTCTAACATTTGCATCAGAAGCTATCACTTGGGATGTTCCCCCTTATACTAACAGAAACCCCCTATTACAATCCCGACGAAGGACTGTTAGTATAAAGAGGAACATCCCAACCTATCACCTCAAGGCAGTTTAAGTCTGGGATTTAGGATTCGGGTCTTGCTCTCGAATCGGGTCTCTTGTGGGCCTTCCGGGCATCCTTGTTTCACAGCAGAACCGCCCATTCGGGTCTATGATTTCGGCTTAGGGATCAGAATCTAGAGTTTAGGGTGACCCTCAAAAGAACAGCACCTACTTGTTAGGAAAGCTCAATTATGCTACAACTAAAACCCGTCCCAGAAACCCCGAAACCCTGAACTTTAACCCGAAAAACTTAAACCCTTTCATAAACCTATATACCCTTCATCCCAAGACCCCCTCCAACCCCCTTACACCCCCCCCTGTCTGGCTTAAAACCGTAAAATCTGACCCCCTAAAACTCTATAAACCCTAAAAGCACAGCAAGCCCTGCAACCCCACCCCCCGCCCACCCCCACGCACTCCACCAAACTATGAAAAAAATGAACCCCAAAAACCCGAAAACCCTATGACCCTATACACACTCTGCCACCCTCCCTTAAACCCCCCTGTCTGGTGCTACCAGGGACCTTCAATCCCTAAACCCTGAACCCTAAACCCTAAACCCTAAACCCCGGCGCGCTGGTCGACCCTGCGAGGGGCCCCAGGCGGGCGACCCAGCTGGCCTCCAGGCTGGCTTACCCTCCAGGCAAGCACAGGCCGAGCCAGCAGTTGTCATTAGAGTATTACCCTAAACCCCATGTTGTCCGCGCACATTGTTCGGTCCTGATGCTTTGTAAAAAAATAAAAGAAGGTCTTAACTCCTTGAGAGTTGTAAGGCGGTCTTGGGGTGGTAGGTCTGCAGACTATTGCGTGCTCCCAAAGCGCGCTTCCGTTTGGCACGCCCCAAACCCTAAACCCTAAACCCAAGCTGTCTCTCGCCGGGCTGCGACCAGGGACTTGGTCTCCTTGGCCTTCTCATCGTAGCGGTCGGCCGAGGACTTCACGAAGGCCACCTCGCCGGTGATGTCCTTGGAAGGCTTGGTTTAGGGTTTAGGGTTTAGGGTTTATAGGGTATAGGGTATAGGATTAAGGGTTAAGGGTTAAGGGTTTAGGGTTTAGGAGGCTTGGGGATGTCGATGTTGGGGGTTTGGGATTTTTAAGGGTATTTTGGGTTGTTAGGGTTTCTGTTGAGGGGATTGAAGGGTTTCTAGGGTTTTTTTTTTTGGGGGGGGGGGGGGGCTTTGAGGGTTGAAGGATTTTAGGGGTTTTAGGCGGGTTTAGGGTTTTAGGGCTGAGCTCGAGTCCACTTCGCAGGGTATGCTGGGTTTTGGGGTTGAGGATTGAAGGTTTGCTCGTTCGCAGGCTCACATAGTAGGGTTTGAGGGGAGCCAGCTTACTGTCTGGATAATGGGCAGCCATAAGCTGGCAATCGTTTATTTGGGGTACTTACAACCTACTTCTCACTTTCCGTGCAACAACCCTGAACCAAAAAGTTTAGGGTCAACTCACCTCACCTCCAGAGTATGAGGACTCTATTGCAAGGCCCCAAAGGACCATACTATAAAGGTTCCTCGGTGAAGCCTCAACCAAAGAGCCCTCAACCCCCCCAGCGCCTTGCAGCCTGCCAGAACCCGCAACCTAGACTTGTTGGCAGAGAGGCAGAGAGTCATCATGACACATCTCCCCATAGAAGTCTCCCAAGCCCTACAATAAGAAGCAGGTTTTTGGGGCTAACCCCCCAAAAACCCTGAACCAATCCTCTAGCCTATACCCAGACACTTGAGGTATTTCAGAACCAGGCGTCGATGTAGCAGCAGCCGTTGTTGGTGCAAGCCTCGACCACTGGCAAGCCCTGCAGGCGACGGCGTGAATCCCCACGAAGGTTTCGGGTTTAGCATGGTGCGCTTCTCGATTTGTGCGGTGGACGAACTGCACCGCAAGGTTTAGTGAGGGTGAACACTTCAGGGTGTACCTACAGAGTAGCCTGCATATCCCTCAGCAAGAGGAAAAGACACCGAGAGTTCAGGCACGTGTCCTTTTTTTAGGGGGGTATTGATATTAGATGGCTCTAGGTAGGGTCGAGGGGACAGTCCAAACAAACCAACGAGCCACCACAAACAGCCAGTTCGGTGTCTTTCGCAGTTTACCCACCGAGACCGTTCTGCAACCTTAATTTTCTACGAGTAGAATCTGAAAAGAATCGTGATTGTTGGTGGTGGCTTTAACTACCTCAACCACTACTGGACGCGATACAATTGTATTGTATAGAGAACTCATATGCAGGGTCAACCCCATCATTTGCACAAGTCAGGCTCTCGTTTGTGCAGCTGGGGGTGCCAGGCAGGGTTTAGGGTGCAATGATAAGAGCCCTGCTTCTTCCTTGGGCGCCACATGAACCCTAAAATTGGGATCATCTACCCTATACTACTCTAATCCCTATATGAAAGTATATATAATTCATAAACCCCTTTTTAGGGGCTCACTTCGTCGTTAAGGTTTCCCACACCCGCGAATATCTGTACAGGAGCAACCTGCCCGCCTTGTCAGCATAAGGGGTGCCTGCATAGTTCAGGATCACCTTGGCACTCTTCGCAGCCTCCTTGCATGGGAGGCGAAGGTGTTTTGGCTGTTGGGTTACAGTCTAAACCCCAAAACCCTGAACCCTAAACCCTAAATCCTAAACCCTAAACCCTAAAAGGTACACCTGGAGGGTGACATGAGAGCCGCCGCTTTCTGGCTTGCCCCAGGAGTACAGACACTCAGCTTCGTTCACGGGGTACAACCACCCTCCTGTCCCCAAAACCCTTTGCAGTTCCAGCATGGTCATGCGCACCAGCAGAAGCCTCACCTCCCTGACGACTCTACCACCGAAGTACTACCCGGGACCCGTTTGAATCTACAGCGTGGCCGGAAGAGGAGTCTCGTGTGAGGGTGGGATTACATGGTTCTCGAGTGTGTGAGGAACCGAAGAACTCCTAGCATTCCTCCCTACAATCACTATAGGCCTCCCCTTCTTGGACATGGTGGGTTTAGGGTTTAGGGTTTAGGGTTTAGGGTTTAGGGTTTAGGGTTTAGGGTTTAGGGTTTAGGGTTTAGGGTTTAGGGTTTAGGGTGGCAGAAAACAGCAAGCCAACTCAACACCGAGCCCCTCGCTCTCTAGACACCTCGCTCAAGGACTCTCGCCAACACGCTCTTAGGGTTTAGGGTTTAGGGTTTAGGGTTTAGGGTTTAGGGTTTAGGGTTTAGGGTTTAGGGTTTAGGGTTTAGGGTCGCAAGTCAGCCTCTTTGCGCTGCAACGTGTGCGCGGGCTTCAGATGATGGTCCCAAACTGAGGTGTGAAACAAACCACTTCGTAACTCAGCAGAGGCAGTTCTGTCAGGATGGGCTAGTATACCCTACACCCCTCAAGAAAGCCCTTTATAGAGCTGATTATGGGGCCAAATTAGCCCATCCTGGTGGCAACTCTGCGCCCCCCTGCGCTGAGGTTCCGTAGAGTTCACCGCCAGTGCTCACCTCGCCTCCGCTTTGCCCTCTCCTTGGCCAGGAGAGCGCAGGCTGGATCAAATGGTCCTTACTGAGTTTCCAGGAACCAACCCTAAAAACCCTAAACCCTAAACCCCAAACCCTAAACCCTCTGAGTTTTCTCAGAGGGCAGAAGGTTCGGAATCTTGGAGCTTGGGGGTTCTATTGGACCCTTGAAGTTCTGAACACATATAAGACCCAGGGAGGTTTTAAAAGGGTGCACCTTTGGGTCTTAAGGAGTTCTTGGTAGCCCAGTAACCATACCATGACAGGGCACCCTTTGTTTAAACGGAACCAAGAACCAAAAAAAAGAGAAAGGGCACCAAGAGTTTGAATCCGTACCAAAAGAGGTTTTGAAACAAGAAGTGGTCCAGGAGTCGACTCTCGTGTAGGCCCACGTGACGGCCGTACGCAATCTCGAAGAACTGGTCCAGTGCTGGCAGCACTTCGCCACGGAGTCGGGTAGCTTCCTTGTTGGCAGCCGTCATCCACTCCAAGAAAGTGCACTGGCGGAACTGCTTCAGTGCCTCCAGTAGGCAGAAGGTCAGTACGCCTTGCTGGCTGCCGTTCAGGTACGCTTCAATCGCACACTGGCCCGCGCCACACGCCGTGATGCAAAACACAGCCAGGCCCTCATCCAAAGGCTTCTGCACTTCGGGAAGCAAACGCCCCAACTGCGTCCAGAAGGTCCTCTTCCCAACCTCAGTAGCCCAGTAACCATATAATAATAATAATAATAATAATAATAATAAGGGCACCCTTTTTTGGGTTGGTTACTTTTATGAGGGAACCTTGAACCCCAAGAAAGGGAAAACGGTACCACTGGGCTACCAAGCAACATGCGACAGACGGCGCGGCAGGGCATTCACGTGCTCTAGTCGTGACCAGACCTATCGTTCATGGTTGGGATAATATCAAAAATATGTTTGTTTTTCCTTATTGGGTTTAAGTACCCTTAAAAATGCAAAATGGTAACCAACTATGACAAAGAGACGTTCTCATCGCCGCCATCGTCCCGAAGGCTGCCAACCTCGTTTCGCTGCTCGTGGGCTGGATACTCCATACCTTGCGGACCGAATAAACCCTAAAATTGATTGGGGTCATATACCCTATACTCTAAGACTCTCATCCCCATTAAGGTATACGAACCATAAACCCGTTTAGGGCTCATTTTGTCCTCAAGGTACTGCGCTTGATGGGCACGCGGACGGGAGGACACAGGAAGGACGCATCCAGAATCAGGGTCAGCATCACGCCACCCGGCAACGAGGCGAAATGCTCATGAAGCTCCTGATCCGTGATAAGGATGGGCCCTTATTCTATATAGTGTATATCTTCTGTAGGGTTCAGGGTTCAGGGTTTAGGGTTTAGGGTTCAGGGTTCAGGGTTCAGGGTTCAGGGTTTAGGGTTTAAGGTTTAGGGTTTAGGGTTTAGGGTTTAGGGTGTAGGGTGTAGGGTTTAGGGTTTAGGGTTTAGGGTTCGCCACCCGCCCAGCTGAGCCCAGGGTTTCGGGTTTAGCGTGGTTGAAAGAAGAAACAAGGGACCCAAACGAAGGGCCCAAGTATTGGAACCCTCGATCCTGATCCGTGATGACGTGGTGCGTCCAGAAGCCCTCCCAGTCCTTGGGGACGAAAGGCGCCCTAAAAGGGTTCATATACTTTAGAAGGGATTCGAGTAGTATAGGGTTCATGATTTTGGGGTTCTGAAATGCGCCTTCAAAGGATTCATATACGTTAATAGGGATAAGAGTAGTATAGGGTACATTATGAACCCAACTTTAGGCCCTAAACCCTAAACCCTAAACCCTACACCCTAAACCCTAAACCCTAAACCCTAAACCCTAAACCCTACACCCTAAACCCTGGTTCATTCGCTCCGCGAGGGTCAAGGGGGCAAAGAGCCTCCTCGAAGGGCGACGCGCCGGCAAAGCCCTGCACCTGCATGGCACGCCCGCAGAAGATCCTGGGGGTGGACTTGGGGGAGCCCTATGAAACTGAAAGGGTTTTTGTATGTATATATATATATATATAGATACATAGATAGATGCATACTTTTCCCTTTCTTTATTTCTTCCGACAGAACGATTTGGGGGGAAGAGGAACCCCCATGAAACTCACATGTCTATTGCGTGCATAGACTAGATACGGCTCTCCAGTTCTCATTTCTTACGATAGAACTGTATAGGAGATGCAGGGTCCATAGCACATGGTTGTTCAAAACGACTTCCAAACTCAACTTCTGGCTCATCGTTAAGCAGTCGCCCTTCGAGGCATCTGACGTGAGCCAATCCAGTCCCTGCACGATGTTGTCCCTCGTCGGAATAGAATACTTCTCATCCGACTCTCCCACAGCCTCACCACTTGGGAACTCGTCCAGCATCACCCAGATTTCCTAAACCCAAAAGTAACCTAGGTATAAAAACGGATTATAAGGGCACCCAAACCCAATAAAAATGAATCTAAACCATAAAAAAAGGAATAAGGGCCTACTATGGGTCCTAGTTTCTTCCTCCAGCAGGCCGAATCTGCCAAGTGCCTCCACCCAACGCAGGGCATCGTTCACGGCCCCGTGGAGTTCTGCGCTGGTGTCGACGTAGTTGATGCCCACCACCAGGGCCTTGCGCTCAGGCATGAAAAGCGAGGAGCATCATGGATGCTTTTTGGCCCGGCGACTTCGCTAGAAGCTGTGATCGGGCATGACTTGGCTGAAGTGGGCTGAGATAAACGAGCAATCTTTAGTTTGACTTCCTACCTAACTTCTGTGAGAACGCAGATAGGAGTTTCAGGCTGTTTCTATGCTTGTTGTTGAGCTTCCCACGACCTTCTGCAACTATGATGTTTCAGCTTGGCGAACACTGAAAGGAGTGCTCTCGAGCCGAAGTGGCGTTCAACTGGGCTTTCCGGTTTGCGGGCCACCGGGTGTGCAAACTTTTACAGCATGAAAGGGATCCGATGGCTGAGCCGTATAGTTCTGCAGACTGTAAACCCAACCCGACTCCCAATCCCGGAGACTAGAAGGTAGCAAAAACCCTGTGACCCCAACAAGCCCTATAAACCCTACGAACGCCGAGAACGCCTATGCAAGGCTTGCATGCCCTGTGGGGGGGAAGGGAAAACTGCGCTGAACATTCCTTTGGCAATGGCATCGAGAGCCTCCACTCTCCCACTGGCAGCCTTCGAAGCCGTAAGCCCTAAACCCAAACAGCCAGTAAACCCTCAACCCTAACGCTGATTGACGCCCGCCGTAACCATATTTTCATAAGTGCACCCTTGGTTGGTTACCTTCTCAGGTTTGCTACTAAGGGAACCCAGAGCCCAAAAAAGGAAGAGGGTAGCACTGGGCTACCCAGGATTTAGGGTTCCTGCAAACCCTCTCCTCCAAATCGGCCGGGTTCGTCACATCCACCTCTGCCGATTCGGACTTCAGAGATAGGTGGGGCCTCATTCTGAAAAGCCCTTTCACAGGAATCTGAGTCAATGACCGGGTGGGATCCAAGATTCAGTGATTCGTAACATTTTTACACTTAAAGCCCTGAAAACCCCAAGCCTCAACATTGTTGCAATCCCAATATCTTGAACTCTACACGAGGAACGCCGAAACCCTAAACCCCTTAAAAACCTTAAAACCCTTGTCCTTACCCGAAACCCTCAAATCCTGAATCCTACCCTATTATAAACCCTAAACCCTAAACCCTAAACCCTAAACCCTGAACCCTGAACCCTGAACCCTGAACCCTGAACCCTGAACCCTACAAACCATGTACAGTGAAGTGCGTGGCCTTCACCAGCGGGATGTCCTTGGCGCTCTCCGGCAGCTCCTGGGGCAGCCAAGATGGCAGCCGCCATGGTGGGGGTTTTGGGTTTAGGGTTTAGGGTTTAGGGTTTGGGGGTTGGGGTTTAGGGTGAAGGGGTTGGGGTGTAGGGTCTCGGGCGAAGGGCTTACTTGGGGCTTCGGGTATCCTATGGTCGGCTTAGAGGGCGTCTCGGGTTTAGGGCTTAGGGTATCCTATTGTCGGCTTAGATGGCGAGCCCGCTGACGTTGTGTGATGGGGGGGTGGGGGGGCTTGTTCTCAGTTTCCCTTTGGAGGTACCGTTCGTCCTTATATTAAGGGGAACCCAAATGTCAGCCTAATTTTCAACAACCGCCACCCCCATCTTTTCCTGAAATCTCCCTTTCGAACTCGGAGATCTCCCCACAAAACCCTTCAAACACTTCTTTGCCCACACCCAAAACCCTAAACCCTAAACCCTATACACCCTTCGGTTCTTCGCAAAATGCGCCTTTCTGATCTTCTCGAGCTTGTCTAAGCTGCGGCCGGCCATTGCCCAGTTCACCTTCTCGCCACCTGCCAGGTTTAGAGGGTTTAGGGTTTAGGGTTTAGGGTTTAGGGTTCTGGGTTTAGGGTTTAGGGGGGTTTGGTGTTCTTGGTCGATAGTGGATTTACCTGCAGTTTTATGGGTTCTACCTGCTAACTAAGGAGTAGTTCCTACTAAACTGCAGGTAAATAGAGTCCGAGGTAGAATTTTGGTTCTGTATAGGTTTAAGGCCACTTGTTGAAGCTTCAAGGTTTATTGGCCTTCGGGTTTTAAGCATTTGAATCTACAGGGTTCAGGGTTTTGGTTCTAGGGCTTTCAGGGCTTGGGGTTGAAAGGCTCTAAGGGCTTTAACATAAGTCTTTCTGGCTTAAGGGCCTTTAGGGCTTCATAAGCAGCAAGGACTTATGAGGGTTGTAAGCGGCCTGAGGTTTTGATTCAGGCAGTCGAGGTTCTTTGGCGTCCTTGCGTCGACGCCCGGCCACCACCCTGCAACCTGAGCCCTGAACTCTCGGTCCTCCTAAGCTCTATAGGGTTTAGGGTTCAGGGTTCAGGGTTAGGGTTTAGGGTTTAGGGTTTAGGGTTTAGGGTTCAGGGTTTAGGGTTTAGGGTTTAGGGTTTAGGGTTTAGGGTTTAGGGTTTAGGGTTTAGGGTTTAGGGTTTAGGGTTTAGGGTCTAGGGTCAAAATCATCCACGAGACATCCCGGAAAGCCAGAGCTCTAAACCCATAAAGGCCTACGACGCATCTTCCCACGACCATAAACCTCCAAAACTTCTCCTCTTCCTCGACGTCCCAAGCCCTGTGTATGATGAAACAAACCGAAATCCGAAACTCTAAGCCGCAAACGGCCATGAGATCCCTATCCCACCCTAACCGCAAAGGTCTAAACCTGCAAAACCCTTTTAACCTCCATACGAGCTAGACCGCTGATCCGCCTCGGTTGGCAAGGTATTCGCATGCTAGGCGGCCGGTGAACCCCGTTGCGCCCAGCACCTGGCAAAAACCGAGGCCAGACACGTTTTTGATGCGTTGAGGGCTTGTAGGGTTGTGGTTCCGGGTAGGGTTCTGCATGGAGCTTCCAAATTCCCAAGAGTCATATTGTTCGAGGACTCTGATTGGGGCTTTTGGCCCCCCTGTGGACTGATTGAAGAATTATTGCTGCAGTCACGTGGCGGTGGCTGTCATCTACGTGCCATCGTCACTGTAGGTTTACCCTAAGGGTCCATGTACCTGATTAATTATTGTATACTTGGGCCTAAAGTCCCTTGATATGAAGTACTTTAAGGCCCAAGTATTCCCTATTTAGGCACATGGACCCCCGGGTTAATGTGTTACCTTCAACCTCAAGGCGACAAGAACTCCTCCGTCCGATTTGCCCAGGCACCACCACATCGTAGGTTGGCATCTTCGCAGACCGCAGGCTCCAGCGCAGGGAGGACCGAAGTTGCTTGAAGCAACAGCTGCGGCCAGGACATACGAGCACATCACATCTCCACACTTGTCCACCCCAGAAGCCTTAGAAAGGGTATACGTCGTGGGGGGGGGGGGGGGGAAGGGGAAGGATGGTGCCGATTTTACGGGGCTCCGCCATAAATACAGAGTACCTGCCACCCAGGGAGGTGGTTTTTCAAAAGCGACCCCGGTGGGCCCCATAGGCCCTAAACCCCAAACCCTAAACCCTAAACCCTCCAATGGAAATCCAGGCTCGGAGTCGCAAACTTTTTTCCCTGCCGATCGCCAGGCACGAGGATGTGCCGGGAACGTTGAAACGTGACCCGCAGCAGACACCCCAAAACCCCTAAATTCTTTAACCCCAAACCTCGAAACCCTGAACCTTAGATCCTGTAGACCCTGAAATTAATAAGCTGCAAAAGCCTGACGTGCTACCTGCGTCGATGTCAGTTTAAGCTTAGCAAGCTCTGCAAATCCAACACCTCGGATTTTTGAGAAACCCATCGCCATCCACGATGTAAGGACCTCTATATACTCTACTGAGCTTGGCACCCTTGCAAAAGCCATGATTCTAGCTGTTCTTTGGGGATTCTACTAACCAAAAACTGAGAAATGGAAATCAAGTACCCCTAAGTGTAGTTTAAGGTGCATGCCTTCAGGTGTTGGGCTCGGCGGGTACCTGAAACCCTAAACAATGAACCCTAAAACCTAAACCCTAAACCCTAAACCCTAGAATGCTCCGGGAAAAGACGGCCTGGCCTTGCAGGCTTTTGAGGGCACTCCGACTGCGTCCCGGGGGTACTTACAGCCAGGCAACTTTGAGGGTTTTAGGGTTTCTGGTTGAGGCTTTTATAGGGTTCTAGGGTTTTAGGGTTTTAGGGTGTCAGGGTGTTGCGGTTTCAGGGCTTTAAGGTTTTAGGGTTTTGGGGTTTCGAGTTTCAGGGCTAGCTGTACTTGCAACCTTGGTTTGGGAGCTTATGCAAATTTGGCTATAGCTACAAGTGCAGACCAAACCCGGGGTTACCGGACGTAGGGAGCTCTTTCAACTAAAGTGTATAAGTAGGTTAGAACTGTACCACGGGCCTCTACTCAGGCATCTTCTTCAGCCACAATGCTGCCTCACAATCGATCCGTCCTTGGTCCCTCGCCGAGCCGGCCGGAACAGCTGTGGGCAAAGCTGCGAACATCACTACATCGACTCCCCCCAAGAGAACTCTTTCAAGGGATTGTATAGAGACACTACATCCCGAAGTCCCTACTAAGAACCAGCAAGAAGGTTCTTGTGGAAGTTCCTTGACGCAGCGGTTCCGACCTAGCCGAATGAGTTGGACACTTGGCGGATGTCACTCGTGTGCAGGCACCGTTGCTGACGTTCGCGCCGCCAGGGGGCTACCCATCATGCAGCCCGGCCCAATAACTACTCCTGAAGGGATGATAGTTGCGATGATGCACTGTTGGTACTGGCAATCAGTGGTAGAATCCCCTGTGGCAAGCGACGCCCTGAAGCACACAGCATGCCGCCTTGCTGCTGCTGTCAGCGGCTTCCCTTGTGCTCCAAGGGCTTGTGAAACTCAGTTTGGCGGTGTGGCTGTCGGAGACCATAATGTTTTGCATTCTCAAACGCTTCGAAACAAAATCGTGTCACAAACCTGGTGCTACTCGAACCCCTCCGTGTAAGGCTTACGGCATCTGCTTGTGGGGCTGTCGTCCCCAGGAGTTTATACGGGTCTCCTCCGGTGGCCAGCCACCACTTTACTAACCTCAGCCGCCCGCACCGCAGGCGGCCAGGCGCGCCAGGTCCGTCGGCTCCAAGCCGTCTGTGCGGTGTGGGGCCTCTCGCTTCCCACGCCTAACCCTTGTAGAAAACAAAACGGAACAGCCGTTACAGAATATTTTACAGGGTTCGTTAGTTTAAGGAAGAGGTTGATAGCAGCGGCATGGTATGGGAGGGGGGGGGGGGGGGGGGGGGGCATGTCGTTGGACAACTTTAAGGCTTCGGAGGTTGGTGAGTCTTGCGTGCTCCAAGTCGCAGGAGCGCCTCTGCTGCGAGGGTTGTTTCAACAGCCACCCCCGGCTTATTTCCAAGGCCCCTCAAGTCCTAAAGCTCACCCATGGTTCAGGGCAGAGTCTTTTTAGGCCTTCTGGGTTACGGTTGCACCCTTCAAGAAGAAGTTGGGGTTCGCTGTTGTGATGAACCCTATAACCCTTGCTCAACCCAGCCTCTGCTCCAAGCAACCTTAAACCCTACAACCCTACAACCCTACCACCCTACAACCCTATAACCCTAATCCTGCAACCCTATCACCCTAAACCCTACAAACCTATAAGCACAGCTTCTCGCAGCACGACCGTCGGACGTGCCTTCCCTGCGTTGGGCGCCTTGCCCGCATAAGCGCTCGGGACCTCGGGGCGCTACGGACCGGAAATAAGGCACTAGGTACCACATATTTCCGACTTGCCCTGAGTTTAAGGATGATGGTCATAGTTCTCCCACGAAGAGACAGGAAGCCACCAGCGGCTACTGCATCATTCAAGAGCTGTAGAAAGTTGGCCCAGAGCCGAGTGCCGGGCAAAGAGAGAATGAAAGAAGCGGTACAGGACCGCCTCACAGGACATTCATGCCATTAGTGCTGAACTTGAGATCTGCTGTCTAGAAGAACACTGATGTAAACATTTGTCGGAGGATGGTCCTCGAAACGCCGCCGGAGAACCTGGTTTCATTTCCCCAAGCCATTCCACTTTCAAAGCGAAAGCGGCCATTTCAAAACACTCCATGCAAGACCGCCCGGTTTTCTAACAAAGGCCAAGCTCCTCGAAGCTTGCACCCCTGTAGACTCCCATTCTGAACAGCGGGTTCGAAACTTCGATACCTGCCTTCCTTAAGCTTCCCAAAACTAAACCGTCCATCCTAAACCCTAAACCCTATGGATCATAAACCCTAAACCCTATGACTCCTAAACCCTAAACCTCTCGAGCATCTGCGAGCCCTTCCCAGCCCGGCCCAGATGGTCAGGAGCCACTCCCAGGCCACTTGCTGGAGGTGGCTCCAGCGCCTCTGTGCCTCTCTGGGGGAGCTTGAGGGGGACTTTTGCGGGCTTGTGGGTGGTTAAGGGTTTGGGGTTGAGCAAGTTTAGAAAGCTTAGGTTCTAGTGGAGTTTTGGGTGGGTTCAGGGGTTGGGAGTTGGGTTGAGCAACCTAGGGTTTACACCCTGTAACCTCCCAGAACACAATAAGGGGAGAATGACAAGATCCTGAGAGCACACTAGCTTACATGAATTCCTTGAGCACGGGGGCCTGAAGCCCGAAGAGCTCCAGCTGCATATTCAACCCGGCCCTGCAAATATCTAACTCGCAACTTCTGTTCATGCCGCCTGCTCCGTCTGGCTCTCTTTCTGCATCAGCATCACGGAGATCTCTGTACAGCCTGCCTGGCAGGAGCCAAATGCACACCGAAAGAAGCCCTCAGCGTTCTCATTCCGAACCTATTAAAGCCCCCCCAACCTTCTTCATGGCTTGCAGCACCAGAAATCAAATTAAATTGCGTGGCCTGAAACCCATGGAAGCCAAGTGTCGGTTGCCCTCAACCCTGAAGCCCTAAACCCTAGGTTTAGGGTTCGGGGTTTAGTGTTTAGGGGCCCTAAGCCCTACACTGTTTGTGCAGCGTGGGGGGTGCCTTTGGAAGCAGATCGCTGAGCATTGCGGATGCATCAGCGAGTACCTCGAGCAAAATCTGCGGGCAGTCTACAAAAATGATATGGAGTCCTGGATGGCAAGAACATGCCTTCCTACTGATGTGCTTGTTACATAAACCCTTTTTGCAGCTGGGACTCAGTCCCTAAACTCTCAAAACTTTGAACCCTAAACCCTAACAAGAAGCCCTATAACTCTCTTGGGCTACGAAAGCCCATCTGAGGTGTTAACATCCCCGCGTGTTTTGCAGGACATGCACACGCAACTCTCGCACCTTCCCGCGGCAGATCAGCCGCTGCCTAATCAAGGCACCGCAGCCGAAACGCAAGAGACTGGACGGGGAAGAAACTGGCATAGCCGACAGCTGAAAAGCAATCGACTAGCGACTACAGGGCGTCTGTGCCGAGTCGATACATTGTCAGATGAGGGGGCGGATACTCGTCATTCCATGAGAAAGACCTTGGATTCTCTGTGGCGACAGCCGCCGTCGTCTTGGATCCTACATGTCCAGTGGGGCCTTACCAGGGTTTAGGGTTTATAGGGTTCAGGGAGGGACCTTGTGGTGATGCGAACCCTAAACAGCTTCAAACCTCAGAGTCGCCAGAGAAGACGCGGTTTCTCGATTCTACATGGACATGTGGATGCAAAAGCCATGGGGCGACGGATGCTGAACAATTGTCCTGACTTCTTGCACGAGGCCACAAAGTCACAAAAGGCGTTCTTTCCTGAAACTGCACTGTGTTCGTATATATATATATATATATATATGTATGTATGTATATATGTATGTACGTAGGACCTTTAGGGTCTATTTGGCACGCCTCGTTTGCCGCCGGGAAGTCCCTAGATTTGATTTTTCAAGGATTTCATGAAATTTAAAATGCCCAAAAAACCCTTGAAATCCTTAAAAAATCAAATCCCGAAATTTAATATTTTAAGGATTTCAAGGATTTTTTGGGCATTTTAAATTTCATGAAATCCTTGAAAAATCAAATCCCGGGATTTAATTTTTCAAGGATTTCAAGGATTTCATAAAATTTCAATACCGGAAAACCTCCCCTCCCCACCCAGAGTACGGGAAGACCACGCGGATTTAAAAATTTATGAAATCCTTGAAATCCTTGAAAAACTAAATCCCGGGATTTAATTTTTCAAGGATTTCATAAAATTTCAAATGCCCAAAAACCCTTGAAATCCTTAAAAAATCAAATCCTGGGATTTAATATTTTAAGGATTTCAAGGATTTTTTGGGCATGTTAAATTTTATGAAATCCTTGAAAAATCAAATCCCGGGATTTGATTTTTCAAGGATTTCAAGGATTTCATAAATTTTAAAATCCGCGTGGTCTTCCCGTACTCTGAGTGGGGAGGGGGGGGTTTGCTTTTGCAGGAGTTCCGGTATTTAAATTTTATGAAATCCTTGAAATCCTTGAAAAATTAAATCCCGGGATTTAATTTTTCAAGGATTTCATAAAATTTCAAATGCCCAAAAACCCTTGAAATCCTTAAAAAATCAAATCCTGGGATTTAATATTTTAAGGATTTCAAGGATTTTTTTGGCATTTTAAATTTTATGAAATCCTTGAAAAATCAAATCCCGGGATTTAATTTTTCAAGGATTTCAAGGATTTCATAAATTTTAAAATCCGCGTGGTCTTCCCGTACTCTGAGTGGGGAGGGGGGGGTTTGCTTTTGCAGGAGTTCCGGTATTGAAATTTTATGAAATCCTTGAAATCCTTGAAAAATCAAATCCCGGGATTTGATTTTTCAAGGATTTCATAAAATTTCAAATGCCCAAAAAATCCTTGAAATCCTTAAAAAATCAAATCCGGGGATTTAATATTTTAAGGATTTCAAGGATTTTTTGGGCATTTGAAATTTTATGAAATCCTTGAAAAATCAAATCCCGGGATTTAATTTTTCAAGGATTTCAAGGATTTCAAAAATTTTAAAATCCGCGTGGTCTTCCCGTACTCTGAGTGGGGAGGGGGGGGGTTTGCTTTTGCAGGAGTTCCGGTATTTAAATTTTATGAAATCCTTGAAATCCTTGAAAAATTAAATCCCGGAATTTGATCTTTCAAGGATTTCATGAAATTTAAAATGCCTAAAAAATCCTTGAAATCCTTAAAAAATCAAATCCCGGGATTTGATATTTTAAGGATTTCAAGGATTTTTTGGGCATTTCAAATTTCATGAAATCCTTGAAAAATCAAATCCCGGGATTTAATTTTTCAAGGATTTCAAGGATTTCATAAATTTTAAAATCCACGTGGTCTTCCCGTACTCTGAGTGGGGAGGGGGGGCTTGCTTTTGCAGGATTTCCGGTATTTAAATTTTATGAAATCCTTGAAATCCTTGAAAAATCAAATCCCGGGATTTGATTTTTCAAGGATTTCATGAAATTTAAAATACCCAAAAAATCCTTGAAATCCTTAAAAAATCAAATCCCGGGATTTGATATTTTAAGGATTTCAAGGATTTTTTGGGCATTTTAAATTTCATGAAATCCTTGAAAAATCAAATCCCGGGATTTAATTTTTCAAGGATTTCAAGGATTTCATAAATTTTTAAATCCGCGTGGTCTTCCCGTACTCTGAGTGGGGAGGGGGGGGGTTTGCTTTTGCAGGAGTTTCGGTATTTAAATTTTATGAAATCCTTGAAATCCTTGAAAAACTAAATCCCGGGATTTAATTTTTCAAGGATTTCATGAAATTTAAAATGCCCAAAAAATCCTTGAAATCCTTAAAAAATCAAATCCCGGGATTTAATATTTTGAGGATTTCAAGGTTTTTTTGGGCATTTTAAATTTTTTATGAAATCCTTGAAAAATCAAATCCCGGGATTTGATTTTTCAAGGATTTCAAGGATTTCATAAATTTTAAAATCCGCGTGGTCTTCCCGCACTCTGAGTGGGGAGGGGGGCGTTTGCTTTTGCAGGAGCTCCGGTATTTGAAGTTTATGAAATCCTTGAAATCCTTGAAAAACTAAATCCCGGGATTTAATTTTTCAAGGATTTCATGAAATTTTAAATGCCCAAAAAATCATTGAAATCCTTAAAGAACTAAATCCCGGGGTTCGGTTTAGGGTTTAGGGTTTAGGGTTTAGGGTTTAGGGTTTAGGGTTTAGGGTTTAGGGTTTAGGGTTTAGGGTTTAGGGTTTAGGGTTTAGGGTTTAGCGTTTAGGGTTTAGGGTAATATCCTTGAAACCCTTAACAAAAATCAAATACCGGATTTGATTGTGTAAGGAGTTCATAAAAAGTTAAGATGCCGAAAAAGAATTTAAACCCTTTAAAATCAAACCCCGGGAATTGTCTTTTCCAGGATTTCAGACATACCCGCTCATTGCCCATCCCACATCACCCCGCATCATCTCCCATCATCTCCCATCGTTTCTCTCATCCCCCATCATGCCCCATCATCCCCCAATCATCCCCCATCATCTCCCATCATTTCGGGAGGGGTGAAAGGGATGATGGGGGATGATGGGGGATGAGACAGTCAGCCCCCTTATCATGTCCCATCGTCTCTCTCATCCCGCGTCATCCCCCATCATCCCCCATCATCCCCCATCATCCCCCATCATCCCGCATCATCCGCCATCATCCCCATCATCTCCCATCATCCCCCATCATCCCCCATCATCATTCCCCATCATCTCTCATAATCCCTTTCACCCCCCCATCATCCACCATCATCCCCCATCAGCCCCCATCATCGTCCCCGATCAGCCCCTATCATGCCCCATCATGTCTCTCATCCCGCGTCATCCCCCATCATTCCCCATCACCCCCCATCATCTCCCATCATCCCGCATCATCCCCCATCATCCCCCATCATCATTCCCCATCATCTCCCATAATCCCTTTCACCCCCCGTCTTGAGGGGTTAGTGACTGCCCTAGAGGTTAATCGTATGTCCCCCCGCTTCGTGTTGTTGTGATTTGGTAGGGGCCCAGAGGTTTGTATGAGTTGTTTTCTTCGTTCGTGTTGTTTGGGTTTTGTGAGGGCCCCGGAGGTTTGTCGCATGTCCCCTTTCTTCGTGCTTGTAGGGTTTGGGGAGTGTCTAGATAATTGTCAAAAATCATTCCTTCCGCGCTCGTACTATGAGGGGCTAGTGGCTGCCCTAGAGGTTTGTCGTATATTCCCCCGCTTCGTGTTCCTGAGATTTGGTAGGGGCCAGAGGCTTGTCATATGTCCCCTCCCTTCGTCCCTTCGTGTTGTGAGGGTTGCATTCGGCCTTGGAGGTTTGCCGTATGTCCCCTTTCTTGGCGTCTAGATGATTGTCATCATAAGTCATTTGCTTCCGTGGTCGTATTATGAGGGCTATTGACCGCCCTAGAGATTTGTCGTATGCCCCCCTGCTTCGTGTTCCTGTGAGTTGGGAGGGGCCTAAAGGTTTATCTTTTGTCCCCTCCCTTCGTCCCTTCGTATTGTAAGGGTTTCGTGAGCGCTCTGGAGGTTTTTCATATATCCCCTTTGTTCGTGCTTGTAGGGTTGAGGGAGTGTCTAGATGATTATCATATATCATTTGCTTCCGCAGTCGCTATGAGGGTATTGATTGCCCTAAAGATTTCTCGTGTGCCCCCCCGCTTCGTATTCCTGTGATTTGGTAGGGGTCTAGAGGTTTGTCGTAATTCCTCTCCCTTCGTTCCTTCGTGGGATGTTTGCGTGTGTCCCCTTTCATCGTGCTTGTAGGGTTTGGGGAGCCTAGACGACTGATATATATATATATATATAATTCGATTCCGTGCTCGTATTGTGAGGGGCTAGTGATCGCCCTAGAGGTTTGTCGTATGTCCCCCCGATTCCTGTTCCTGAGATTTGGTGGGGGCCTAGAGCTTTGTCGTATGTCCCCTCCTTTCGCCCCTTCGTGTTGTAGGGGTTTTGTTGGGCCTTGAAGGCTTGTCGTGTGTCCCCTTTCTTCGTGCTTGGAGAGTTTGAGGAGCGTCGAGATGATTACCATACATCATTTGCTTCCGTGCTCGTACTATGTGCGGTTAGTGACTGCCTTAGAGGTTTGTCGTATGTCCCCTTCCTTCGTCCCTTCGCGTTGTATGGGTGGTAAGGGTTTTGTGAGGGCCCTGGAGGCTAGTCGTATATCCACTTTCTTCGAGCTTGTAGGGTTTGGGGGGGAGCGTCTAGAGTCTAGATGATCGTCATATATGATTTGCTTCCGTGCTCAAACTATGAGGGGCTAGTGACTGTCATAGAGGTTTGTCATTTGTCCCCCCCGTTTCCTTGGTCCTGTGATTTGGTAGGGGCTTAGAGGTTTGTCATATATTCCCTCCCTTCGTCCTTTCGTGTTGCAAGGGTTTTGTGAGAGCCCTGCAAATTTGCCGTATGTCCCTTTTCTTCTT